GCCCCAAACCGAATCGCGTAAATTTCGCTCATCGTTTCGTTGTCACATATATAATATTCCATTGTACCCCATTATAGTATAGTAGTTTCCATTTTTTCCATAATCCCTATATTACCCTAATATAGTAAAGTCAGCTTCAAGCTGACGTTCTGCCATTTTGGCAGGTTTCGACGCCCCAAGCTGGCAACGAAAACTTAGGTCCATTGGCTAAGCCGTGTGGTTGGTGGTTCATAGCGTTCGGGGTTCACGATGTCCGGCTCAGGTTTCTGGGCTTAGGGTTTCCAGCTTAGGGTTTTCAGGGCCTCCTGAAGTTACCAGCAAGAATCGCATTTTGAAACCCATCAATGATGCTGTCAAGTTCTATCCCTGGTACATGAGAGCAGGGAGTGCGCAGAAGTATTTGCAGAGATTACCACGAAGAAGACAGTTCAAATCTATGTTGCAAGGTGTCGAATTAAATCAGGCTAAATACAACAGTGGGACGGACACTTTGGAGCATGTGCATCAACTCTCCATTTTGCGAGGTGGCATCCGGCTATGTGGAGTTAGCCGGATGTAGACACAGTAGGGTGTGCACGTCAGTATGGATGGATGGATGGATGGATGGATGGATGGATGGATGGATGGATGGATGGATGGACGAAATTGTCATTGCGAGTTCAGGTTCTCACAGCCGCAGGGAAAGGTATCCAGCAAGACCTTTCAGACTCCCACTCTCATCCATTCTCACCATGACCCGCGCCCCCTCTCCGAGAGACACTCAGCAAGACAGTCGTGGCTCCCCGTAGGGCGCGTCATCCCAGTCAAGCACCGGAACACCCCCACCTTGTCGTCGGAACCACCCGACGCATGCTATACTTGACATTCACCCTCTTCATGGGTCAAGGCCATTGGCACTCGTAGAGGTGCTTGCCAACTGCTGTAGTGACCACATCCATGCAGTGTCAGCCAGAAGGACTGGCCCAAGCCGGAAATTTTTCTTGCCAGGCCTTAGGAGCGGCCAAGCAAACATGAGGATTGTCCACACCATGCTTCGACTAGGACACCATGCCTGGCAATGGCCGATTTTCAACATTCGACGTACCGCTTGAGAAAACTGGTCGCACTTTCTATCGTTAGCTGTTGTCATAATATTGAGGTTGTGCAGATCAAGCCAGAACAACGATCTTTGAATCTGCGAGGTACCTACTTGGAGGTGGTTATCACCTGGACTACGTGGCTCCTAATTTCTTTGGAGGTCTCGTTTCATTTGTTTTTGTGTTTCAGGCTGCCTCTTTGCTTCTTTCTTTTGTTGGATCCTGCTCTGTTGCCAGAGTCTTTTTACTACTTTGTTGTTGTCTTCCCGGCGTTTACATGTCAGCTGAATAAGCAAAGCCAACGTTACAAGATGGCAAAACCTCCACTGGTTGCATGTCCTCTGTTGATTTCAACAGTTTGCACAATCTTCATTCTTGTTGCGATTAGCGACCCTGTTTTGTCATGGATCAGGATGTACCATGAGCCGCGGTGCGTTGGTGTGATTGCAGGAGCACACAACTAGCAGGCGCGTCAGGTCTGAGGGTGCATCCCGTCCAAAGCACTCTGAGCACATGCAGTTACCTTGCTCGCGTGGTGTTGATGGCAGATTTGGGTTCTCATCCAAAGACCCAATCTGAACTGTGCGTTCAATACCCAGAGTGGCTGAAATCACAAAGGCTGAGCCATCCTGGACAGCTCAGGAGGGTTCATAAGCAGTCGTTGATGCAACGCTTAGGTTCAACGTGATCAAGGGCCTGAACGACCGCGCTGCTTCGGTGCTGGTGGTCGGTGCAGGCTTCATCGGTGTGGAGTGGGCCA